CTCTTCTCTTAACTCTCAAGAAAAGAATATCAACTCAAAATCCAACTTCCTCCTCTTCCACATATTCTCTCTCTCTCTCTCTCTCTCCTCTTCCTTCTCTCTGAAGGATTAAAAGAGAAACCGTTTGGAAACCTCAGCGAGCCCGATGACGCCACCGAGGCCTGTCCTCAACCCCCTCGCCCCGACCGGGCAGATAATCGGCGGGACGGACGCCCGCATCGAGGACGTGCCCCACCAGGTCTCCCTTCAGAGTTTCGGCTTCGGCTTCTGCGGCGGCAGCATCATCTCGAACGAGTGGGTGGTCACGGCCGCCCACTGCATGTCCTACCCGGCCGAGTGGATCACGGTCCGCGCTGGAACAGCGACCAAATCCTCGGGCGGCAGCACCCACCTGGTCGCCGAGATAATCGTGCACGAGAGGTACACGACGAACCGTTACGGCGTCCCAGAGAACGACGTCGCCGTGCTCAGAGTGAAGACGCCGTTCCGGCTGGACGCCACCCGCCAACCCGTCCAATTGTTCAAGCGGAACGAGGAGTCGGTGGCCGGTGTCGGGGCGGTGATCACTGGATGGGGTTCGGTGGTCGAGGGGGGCAGCACGACCGAGGTCCTTCAAACGGTCACCGTCCCCATCGTCTCCAAGAGCTCGTGCAACGACGCGTACAAGTCGTACGGCGGCCTCCCCTTCGGCCAGATATGCGCCGCTGTGCCCGAGGGAGGGAAGGACGCGTGCCAAGGCGACTCCGGCGGCCCGATGACCATCCAGGGCCGCCTCGCGGGACTCGTCTCTTGGGGATACGGGTGCGCCAGGCCGGGATACCCCGGCGTCCACACCGAAGTCGCCGCCTTCAGCGACTGGATCGCCTCCAAGACTGGAATTACCGCGTGAGAGCGCGCTCCAAAGCGTTTCTTCGTGGTGAGAAAAATTTCAAGAAAGAGAGTAAGAAATTTCTGTTTAATTGATTAATTGCTCGTATAATGTTTCTTTTTTTGTGTAAAGATTGCGAAAGATATAATAAAAAATTGAAAGTGTCGAATCTACTCTATGAAATAATATTCTTCTATATATATATATATAGGAAATCTTTCTTACGTACGTGGCGACACGTGCAACGTTTTCGAGCAAACGTTTCGCGCGAATCGGGTTAAAGTCGAAATTAATTCCCCCTTCGGTGTGGCTACCCGATTCAATCTCGACTAATGCGCTAACCTTATTCCAGTCGGAAGCTACGGCGCCTTTCATTAACGAATTGCGCCGAGTGTCGCCGAGACGACATCGAGGAAAACATCGTTCTAAGGGAATTTCCGGTGTTGGTCGCGTGAAATGGTGGCCGACCGAGAAATGATCGATCGAATTTTTCGAAACACTTTGGCCAATTGGACAATTCGAGATCCGAGCGGTCAAATTTTGTCAAAATTAGGCTCCACCGAATCAGCTACAATCGCTGTTTCAATCTGTTATTTTTCGTATTTTTATTTTATCGCGAAAAAATTTGCAAAGTTTGGAAAGAACAGCGCAATCAACGAACGAACGCGTCCATAAGTTTGTTGGGATGGAATTCGAGTTCCAGTTTTATATGGGTTAAACGCATCTGAGATTCGAGATTATCGACTCGAGCGATATCGATCGGAAAGGCTGGCCAAAAAACAAATTTCCAACAATTTAATCGTTCGTGTGTCGCGACAAAATGTGTGCATAAATAATTGGAAAACATTTCGTATCGCGAAATCGTCTCCAAAAATGGAGAACAGAATTTTCGAACGTATCTCTAACGACGGTTAATTTGAATCGATTGTAACTCGTATCGATCGTGTCCCCTTCGATCGATCGTTGCAAAGTTCGACGAACGAGAGAAAGGAGACGAGAGCGCAAACGGTGAAACGCACGAGCAAGGACCAGTCGATAAATTATTTTTAGATACGTTTGCTTGGCCCCAACGCGGAATTAACGATCGAACCTAGGAAACGAGGACGATACGATCGAGGTCAGTTGCGATTACCCTACCCAAAGGAAACGATACGTTTACCTTGAACATCGGATCTTTCTTGCGGCGACCCCTTAGGATATAAAGGGACGTACTTCTCGATTATATATCGCTCCTTTTTTTTAAATAAATAACTCACGCGTGCGTGCCCGTCCTTCGTGTCGACAATCGTGACGAGGATACGTTAAATTTTTCTTAAATTTTTGAAAACTAGATCATCATCCTTTGAGAAAATCCGTGACGCTTAATATGTTCTTCTTAATTCTATTATCTCATTGATCGTTAAATGCGTAATATTAGTTTAACACACGTACACATTTTTAATCGATATTTATAGAAGCTTTTCAATATTTATAGACCGACGGTCTTGATATTTATAAAGGCGATGGGAAGAGCGTGGCATTAAAAGATAAAAGATAAAGGGAAGGGGGGAAAAAAAAAGGAAAAATATATAGGATAGGACATCAAATGAGCGATTACTTGTTTCTCGAAAAAAGAGAGAAACATCTGATAATTGAATATATTTTCTCGTATCATTTGATATACCTTTGTTCCGGGCAAAATTGGACAAAAGCAGAAGGAAACAGTACAGGCGAAATGTACATAGTTTGGTCAGTAGGAGAGCGTGTGAACTTTTGACCTCGACACTAGAAGCGCGTGCCAACCCCAATAGGATCAACTTTCTCGAAACATTCCTACAATCCCTTCCTACCTAACCTATTCCGTACTTAATTATTATATCCTCTAATTTCGTTCGAATCTCATCATCGTAAATGAATTATTGCCGAGAATAAAAATCTTTTCGTATGAAAAACTTATTCTATCTTGTACTTATTGTGAAAATGTGTCGCAACGAATAATTACATCAAATATAAAACGGGACGCGACGCGCTTGTTGTCTTTCTGGCTACAGAAAGTTGAATCGTTTTTACACGTACCGATAATATATACGAGAAGGACAATCTTTTCATAAGGTTGCAACACACCGTAAGATTGACAAAGCCGATGCGATATATATATGTGTGGATGAATATGCATGCAGATGGAAACATCGACGAACATCACTGAAAATTTCATCTTTGAAAATGTAATTAATCGCGTACGTGCTTAATATCGAAGGAGGCAAGCCCTGCGTGGCTCGAGTATCCTCGGGTATCCTCGAGTATTCTCGAGTGTCCTCGAGCGAGGCTCGATCGTATATGTTTTATAAAACTACAAATATGAAGTGTGTCCATCGACCTTCGATATGCATCTACTTACACTGTTCGTTCTTTTGTAGCTTGTTAACTCCTTATTTAATCCTACACCTACACCACGGTACGTCTTCTTTCCGACAAAGTTTCCTAAGGATCATAAAAAAATTCTTAATGATCGGATTATAATTCTAACCTAACCTAATTTAACCTGATTCGCGTAAGTATATTTATTAAGTATATTTTCGCGTTCATATTTTCAACGTAACGAAACTTTTCAGATGCACAATTTGATTAAATGATTGTGCAAAACTACAATTCAAACGACAATCGATTTTTCTATCTTTTATTGTTAAGGAATCGAAATAATCGTTTTGCATTTATTCCGTGTTCGGAATCAAAACAAATTGCGATAGAAATGATGTCATAAACATAACATACGAGCTTCTTAACGCTAAGCAATACTATGCTCTATATCACAAAATATTGGCTTACGATCATTGTAGTTTATATGTTCGATCAATTTATTTCGAGTGGCGTGACTACGTTCATAACAATGTGTGAACAAAAATGTTACTACATATTTAGGTGAACTTTAGGTGAACTTGAGGTTTAATTCCAAGATTATCTTTGACAATAAATTAGGCGGAAATGTCAATCAATTTTAAACTTTAAGAAAAAGATTTTAAGAAAGAAATTTAACACGCGACAAATAAATATCGCTTGAAATATATTAATATTAAATACTTGCTTGACATTTGATAAACAATTCGATAAGTATCGATTCAATATGGCTGAATCAATATCGAAAAAATGAAACGCTTAGATCGAAAGACTTTCTCGAGGTCGAAATGAATTCGATAAAACTAAAATGACATCGACTGACACAGACAAAAATTAACTAGATTTATTTCAATTATTTCGCATATCCATTCTATCTATTCGATTTGTTCTCGTTCTACGCTTATTATGAAAATATAATTAATTTAGAAAAAGGTTTTAATAAAAAGTTTTTTTTCTAGCGTCGTTTTTGATCTCTTTTTCATTGAAACATGAGATCTTTGAATATTATTCAATGATCTCGTGTTTACTTACAAGTATATATAGCTAGTTGAAATAAAAAATGCGTCATAAGCTTCGTTTCATCGAATTCAACCATGATTTGAGTCAACAATATGAAATTTATGTCCTACGTTTCATTATCGAAGAAAATGTCATTTGAAAATACGAATCTGATATATGTATATATATATATATATATATATATAATAATATACTATAGTAAGAATAAGAATTAATTTTACTTA